TATATAAATAATAACTAATAATAATAACACGCAGGCCAGCGCTGCGTGCTGCTGTGGTTGTGTCCCAATCCTGTGGAGCGCGCGACGCAGCCCAAACGTTACCCAATCAGCCTCCGCCCAGCGCACTGACTGACTGCTGCTCCACTGCGGACAACAATGACAGACAACATTCAGCTGCAGCCTGTCCGACACAAAAAACGACATGACAACAAACGAAGAGACGGGTAAGAGCACGAAACGACGTTAAATGACAACAAAAACGCGTCGCCTGGAGAATGGAGGCTTGTTTATGGACGATATATGGAGGATAGCATAGTGGCTAACAGCCCAGCAACACTTAACCCGCGAAATTATGTTGATAACGACATTATATCGCGACATGACACTGATCAGCTCTTTATTTTGAATACATCATTGAATATTCGCTATGAAGATGTCGTCTGAGCGATATTAGAGTCTTGATATTGTTGTATATAGGAGAGACAAGTGCACATCCTTGTTCCGGGACACAGGTGAATTGTTGTCAAGGAGGTGTCATAAATGTTTGAAGAAAAACATAAATATTTCTCCCTATGTATTCTGTTATGCTCTTTTTGACCAAATATTTTCGGTGTGATGCATTTAAGGCCTTTTGTGAGTATGGGCGACACTTAAATAAAGACCCTGATAAAGCTCTGATAGCAATATAATGCCCAGTTGTTTATAAGCACTTAAAAATAAAAGCTCCACGGTAACCAGAGTTTCTGTCAAAATGCCATACTTGCTACAGATATTGATGCCATAATTGTGGTTGCCTTCACCAAGCAAAAAAGTACCATAGTACTAACATGATTTTTGGAGATGTGGTATTCTCTTAAAAGCCTATGAGTACCGGTTGAACAGTACAAGGATAGACATGAAACTGCACTTTGAATTCTTTCAAATAAATAATATAAAATTGCATACATTATTCTTGAACTGAGTAAAGTATTTAAAGGGAGGTTACATTAAAAACATACATTTTAACATTAGATGTTAAATTTTGATACTGTATACACTATTGTTATAGAATTGTTCTGTAGTCTGTACAGTATTTAATGCAATTACATGAGAAAATGACAAGACAACTGAAAGTAATCCTTTATGTTACATTTTTAAAGGAAAAATAATACCTTGTACTTCAACACAGGGATTGTTGCTGCTGTGGGTTATAAAAATGATATAAATAAACAGAAAAGTGTCCGTTTAATGCAAAGCTGCAATCTTAGTTTTGTTTTGAAATAATTTTCAAGACAGTTATAGCTCATGTACTAAATAAAAAAAAAATGCAGGGTTTGTTGTTCACTTAATGCCTTAAATGCACAAATTCAGTTTAGTTTTATTTTCTATAAGCTGTAGTCATTCAGTTATGCTTCACATAGACGGAAGTACAATACCCAATATATATATATAGTTCTTGATAAGAGTTTGTTTGATGAAGGTGTTGGTAAAAAAAGCTAATATTTACTGACACTGTTTTTTGTCACTTGCTTGAAAATATTTCTGTGGCTGCAGTGAAATTCCAGTATCTGGATGTGAATTTTCTTTCTGGTAAAGGGTTGTGAAGTACTTGCTTTACATTTCTGTATTAATTGAAGCGCTTTGTGAATCAAGCCCACATGTAATGTTGATGATGTTGTATATTCAGGTGCTGCCCATGGTCTAGATGCTGCAGTGGGGGAGATTTCCGTCCTCGGACCGTGTGGTTGGGCCATCCGGAAAAGAGAGAGCAGAGATACCCAAGAAATGTCATAAACAACCAGAAATACAATTTCTTCACCTTCCTGCCTGGGGTGAGTGACTACAAACGTGCAGAGAGAACCACCGGGGTAATTCAAGAACGTGTTGAGCAATGGTCTGTGTTGCTTAACATGTTCTTTAATTGCTCTGGTGGTTAACAGTTGCACATGAGCTGTTTGAAACGTTTAGGCTGATATTGTATTGCAGCCACTTAATCACATCCTAGCAACCACCCAGAACTCCCTAGCAACCACAGAACACCTTCACATCAGTGTAGCAATGCCTTGGCAACCACCCAGAACACCCTGGCAACTTGGTGGCAAATTTTGCACAAGTGGCACTTGCTTTTCACGGCAGAAAATGTACAAATCCAACCCTCTACATTGCGAGTAAATCACTCGCATATGCGACTAAATCTTACTCTGGGCGACTAAATAACGTCTAACATTAGCCATTGGCTAATCAGAAGTTTTCTGTGAGGGGTAGGGTTCGGGGTGGGGTGGGTTTAGGTTAAAAAGTATATAACTATCTATATATAAAAATAATTGAAGTCTATGTAATGTCCCCATTTAGATGTGTAAAATAGTATATCAGTCTGGCGAGTAAACAAAAAAATGTACTAGCCAATGGCGATTATATTGCCAAGGTGT